TGTCTTGTTAAACACTTTATGCAAGTCCTGATATTCTGGTGGTACTTTCTGTAGATCTGGGATCTCTTCTGCTGCCACCATAGGCCCGTGCCGTTGTCTAACGGCAGACGCTAAGCAAGTCCCTACACACTGAGTCGACCACCCAAGCACACGTCCCGTCCCCCAATCAACCTGTACCCCATGCTGCACCAACCAAGGGTACCCGAGAACAACGGGGTGATGTGGCGATCGCATAACAAGAAACTGCATTTGCTCGACATGGTTCTCAATGGTCAAAGTGAGCAGTACTGACTGGGCTGTAACTCGGTGCAACAATTTGTCATTGAGTGAGTGTACTAAGAGAGCCGGTGCAACCGGACAGGTGGGTATGTTATGCTCGTGTATAAAGGCAGGATCCATAAAACATGCATCGGACCCTGAGTCAATAAACACAGAAATGGAGATGTCACGGGTCTCCATCGACAACAGCGCTGACACATTTGGGTGAGGAGGGACAGTACCTGTCATCGTCCGGCTCAGCTGCGCCCTCCTCCTCGCGCTGAGCCTTGTCCTTTTACCGGGCATGACCTGGCTAGATGCCCTGTGCCCCCACAATACAAACACAGGTTCAGTCTGAACCGGCGCTCCCGTTCCTCCTTGGTCAGTCGGGATCCCCCCAGCTGCATAGGCTCCGGAAGCTCTGAGGAGAAGCCGGCGTTGGCGTGCGATGATCCCCGGTGGCGTTCAGACTGGCGCTCTCATTGTCTCCCGTCAAGTCGTGTGACCAGGTCCATGAGCGGTGGTAATCTTCGTGGCCGATCGTAGGCCGTCAAAGAGTCCTTGAGCCGGTCACACAGTCCGTGGTAAAACGCATGGGCAAGAGCCGATTCGTTCCAGTCACTCGCTGCAGCTGTAGTGCGGAAGGCTATGATGTAATCTACTGCAGTCCCGGACCACTGAGATCATAAGGGAAGGAGAAACGGCAGCGTCGTGGCAGGAAGGATCGAAGACCCGGGCTAATTCAGTACCAAAATCAGCAAAGGTGGAACAGCAAGCAGACCTTGCCGTCCATTCTGCCGTTCCCCATCCCCTGGCTCTACCAGACAGTAGCGATAACAAATAGGCCACTTTAGCTCGCTCAGTGGGAAACGCTGATGACTGCATCTCGAACACCATTTTGCA